AATTAGTAAATAATAATTAATAAATAATAATTAATAAAAATCAATTAATAAATAACAATTAACAAATAATATTCAATTATCAAAAGGAATTATTATCATCGAGTAATTCGGCATTTAAAGATGTTACAATAGATTTTATTATATTAATATATATGTATATATATTATTTTTTACTTTATAATTTCTTCCTTTTTCTTGTTATTACTTTGTTCAATATCTCTACCAAAGCAATCTCCAATTGTCCACGCTTCAATCAATTTCACAACTACTCTCATAAAAACAATTGTTAATTGTTCTTAACAGTTTTAATTTTAGTATTAAATTAATTATTCATTCCTCAATTATTCGATGATAATAACCTTAGAATGAAGCTGTCCTAAAAGAAAGTAAAAGAAAATTGCATGTTAAATTGCATGTTAATAGTGCATTATAGAAGCATACGTCTGGCCGACAATATGGCGGGTCGAGCGGTTCTTGCTTCGCTCTGTATGAGGGGAGAGGCACAAGACCCAGCGAGCGAGTATTGGATAGTGGGCGTGGGGCCTTTCACTCCTCCGCGTAGCTGGTCGACTCCTCCCTCCTTATACTCGCCTGATACTTGAGGCTCGATTCGAGTCTTTCAAACGTCATTATTTATTAATAATAATTATTTAACAATTAAAAATTGATGATCTCCTTAAATGTTAAGTTATTTTCTTTAAATTTGTATAATTTTTGGTATAGATTTATAGTATACCAAAAATTATTAATAATAATAATTCTTTAATATCAATTTGTAATTCATTTTAATTTTAACAATAATTATTGACCATTTGATTTGTTAATTGTTAATTAAAGCAATAAAATATATTGTATGTTAGTAATATTTTATTTATTTATAGTAATTATTACTATTATATATTTTACTTTTCTTTTTATTTTATGGTAAGAATAATGATGTTTATTAATTTTTATATTATTATAGGTTATTAATAAATATATTAATTTATTAATACATTAAAGCTATGGTTAATTATTAATTATCTCTAATTAAAATAGTATCAACATAACAATATTATTATATCATTATTATTTCCAATGTATTATTGTAAAATTTTAATTTATTTATTAGATTGAGATTAGTAGCATTATAATTAATATATTAGTATTTTAAAGTGAATTAAATTTTAAAGCGTACTGTGCATTGATTAGTAATCTATTGTTAATAATGTTAAAATTATTTGGTTTTACGTTCGACTTTCATCATTTAAGAGCAAGAATTGATTTGAATTTGAATTATTTGCCGCTCTTTCATGATGGAAGTCAGCGAAGCATGCGCGTCTTACTATTAAGCTGGAGGCACTTGCATGCATTGGTCACGTGGTTGAGTGGAACCACTATCCGGCCATCGCGGTGTGCCATGGATAGTAAAAGAGGTGTGAGCACGGTCGATGTACAATCGATGCGTGCTTAAAGCTGGTGCGCTCATTTGAATGATGCTGTCTTATGCTCTATTCATTTTTATTTTTATTCTATTTTTGTTGTTTTTGGGATTAAAATTGTCGAAATTTTTGCAGATTTTTAAGACCTTTCCTCCCTCTTTAGACTTTACATTGTCCTCAATATAAGGGAGTGGTTGGACTTGTTTATTTATTTATTTATTTATTTATTTTTTTATTAATTTTGTACTATTGGTGTTTGGTTTCTTCTTCTTTTCCATCTTGTGGTTATTAATAAATAGCACAAGTACATTTTTCTTACTATGATGATGATTATTATTAGTAAGAGTAGCTGAAAGAATAGTATAAAACCATTTTTAATTGTTGTGATGTAGTCTTTGGCATTTAAAATCCAACTTATAACAGGAATTTCCATCTGTAAACAGATTTATTTTTAACAGATGTTATTTTATATATATAATTTTTTTGATTATATATGATACAAAATTATATTTTATTTATTTATTAATATCAAAATTAATTTATTGTTTAATTAGTTTATTAATACTGTATTATAACTTAGTTAATTTATTTTAATTGTGGGATTTTGTTATTATTATTTCATTAATTAATTTAATTATATTATTATGATTATGATTAATTAATTATAATTATGGATTTTATTAAGGGTATGTGGAATCAGCCAACTTCAATTAATACATGTATTAATATTCCCACCGGTTTTCTAAAAAAATATTTAATAAATCTTGACAAAATATAAGAAAAATAATATTTTATTTATTGAGGCATGGATCTCTAGTCCAATTAATACAAAAATTTGCTTTTAAATATTATTTTTCATTTAATAAAAAGTTTGATATTTTTTGAAAAAAAAGACAATCAAATACAAATTAATATTGAAAAAAATGAATAAATTTATATTTTTCTATGTTAACATTCATTTTTTTCAATGGCAATTTGTATTCGATTGTCTTTTTTTCTCGAAAATTATCAAAAAATGAAAGTTTGAATAGAAAAATATAAATTTATTCATTTTTTTCAATATTAATTTGTATTTGGTTGTCTTTTTTTCTCAAAAAATATTAAACTTTTTATTAAATGGAAAATAATATTTAAAAGCAAATTTTTGTATTAATTGGACTAGAGATCCATGCCTCAATAAATAAAATATTATTTTTCTTATATTTTGTCAAGATTTATAAAATATTTTTTTAGAAAACCGGTGGGAATATTAATACATGAAAATAACATTAACTTCATGAATACATTGAAGTTGGCTGATTCCACATACCCTTAAATAAAAGAGGAAAGAAGAAGGCAACCACCATTCCTCTTCCTTCTTTTCTTTCGTCTTTTATTTGTAATTATATATTTGGTTTATTGATTAAATTATAAGTATACATTTTTTTATTTACATATATTTCATTGATATAATATATATATATATATATATTTTTATTTTATTTTTTTTTTGATAATTATATATGTATAATAGGTGTTTATAATATTTTTCAATTAACTGAATACATATATGTATTATTTATTTATGTATATATTTATATTATCTTTATTTATTTATTTTTTTTTATTTTATTATTATTATTATTATTATTATTATTTTTTTTTTAAATTTCCTAGTAACAGTTAATTTATTAAAATTTTATACATGGTTTATTGAAATAACTGTTAATTGGAATCTATCGCGTTATTTTAGTCCCATGGTAGGGTAGGAGCTGGTAAATTCCAAAATTCGTCTGAATCGACAGATACGCTTGTTGTTGGATTTTCTTTTCTTAATATTTTCTTATTTCTGATTACGCTAAAGCATTGTTCTTTAATGTGCCCCCTTATATAGCAATATTCGCAACAGTTTTTCCATTTGAAAAGTTTTAATTTTAGTACTGATGGTTCGTCGTGGGACATTACATAGATTTTTTGTTTTAGGTTTTTGGGCCTTTCTTCTTCGCTAAAGAAATAAGTGTCATTTAATTCTTTAAGGATTATTTTGGCTGCTGAATGTTCCGATTCCCTAATTGTTCTGCACCCATTTTCAGTAGCAACAAACATGTTATTGTTCTTATTGTCTGTTACTGCGCACTTCACTTGCCACAATTTATTAAAATTGGGTCCTGTGGTTTTGTCAACTATATAATTTGGTTTATTAAGGTTGTATTCTGCCGTTAATTCCTCGAGTATTCCTTTTGGGTATGATATGTTGTCTATGTTTCCTTTTGGAAACGTAAAAGCTGGTATTAATTCTCCTTGTAGTGGTGGAAAGAAAATTATGGATTCGGGCATCTAAAAATTAAAATCATGTTATTATTGTTATTCATGTGCAATTTTTAACTTATCTACATGTTTTTGGAACCTGTGTCCATCATCATTTATTAGAATAACATTATTTTTGTTTAGAATATCCACAATTCTGTATGGACCATGGTAATGAGGATCGAATTTTCTTTTTAAACCTTCTTTCATGACATAAGCTTTATCACCGACTTTTCCTTGAAAAGGTTTGATTGATTTATCATACCTTTCTTTGGACTTTAATTTAGTATTTATTAGATTTTTAGCTGCTATTGCACTTATTTCAATTAATTTGGTGATAAGTTCAGTTAAATAGGAACCATATGTTTCTAATTTAACTTCCTGAGGAAAAGAACTAGGAGAACGAGCAGTTTTTCCAAAAATTAACTCATAAGGGGTAAAATTGGTGGCTTCATGCACGGATGTATTGTAGGCAAACATTGCAAAGGGCAGTAGTTTGTCCCAATCGTCATAGTCTTTAGTGTATTGTTTTATATAGTCTGCTAAAACGGCATGACTACGTTCTAAAGCACCGTTTGTTTGGGGCCTATAACCAGAGGTTGTAACTTGTTGTACTTTGAAAATTTTGGATAATTTTGACATTAATTTGCCAATGAAAGAAGTACCTTTGTCTGTTAAAATTACTTTTGGGGCTCCATACACTGAAAATAATTCTTTTGCAACGGCATGAGCAATAGTAGTTGCTGAAATATCTGGAATTGCAACTGCTATACAGTATTTGGATAAATGGTCTTGCATCGTGAGAATATGACAATTTCCGTCTTTGGTTGTAGGAAGTTTTCCTACTGTGTCTAGTGAAATTTTGTCAAAAACATCTAGGGGTGTGTCTGTTATAATCATAGGTTCTCTAGTTTTTACTCTAACTAATTTTTGTATTTGACATGTGGGACATTTTCTTACAAATTCTGTCACTTGTTCCCTTAATCGTGGCCAATAAAACTTTTCGCGAATTCTTCTATATGTTTTCACTATTCCTTTGTGTCCTGCTATTTTACTTTTATGGAATTCACTTATGATATCTTCTCTATTTTCTTCTTTAGGAACAGATACTTGTCCATAACACATAGTTATATTAATATTGCCATTGTAGAAAACTGATTCAATAATTTGTCTTAGTTCTCCTTTTAACAATTCGTCTGTAAAATCTCCACGTCGAGAAATTCTTATTTCTTTTGCCTTCTCTTTAGAAAGAAGTATTTTTAAATTCTGCATTCCTAAAATAATGTCTTCTTTTTATAATGGATCATAGTAATTATCTTTTGCTATTATAGAATATATGTTATATCGTCCTTTTGGGGTTACAAGAATTTGTCCTTTTATGGGTTTTTTATTTTTTATTTCTTCAGGATCTATTACTGCAATGTCTATAAGTAATCTGCTTATTGGAGTTGTGAACTCGCAATCGGCAGATAGAAAATGAACATAGTTATTTCGATGATAAGTAAGATTTTCTCTGTCACTTGTGATGTTTGAAGATTTTTCTGACATTCTTGAATAATTCAGAGGCAAATTTGGAGGAATGCTGTTTATAGCATTAAACTTATTTTCCTGTGTTTCGTTGTCTGTGGATTCTTCTTCATTTTCCTCTTTTTCATTTTCTGTATTGTCTTCTTTATCTTCTTCATCTTCGCTTTCTTTTTCTTCATTTTTCTCTTCTTCATCTTCATTATTATCATCTGTGGTTCCTTTATCTTCATCATCTGTACCGACATCTGTTTCGTGTAATGAAGTGTGATAAGGTGTTGACATAGCCTTTGGAGTTTTGAAAAATACAGGTGTGTTAGGTTCTGATGTTGAGGGTCTGAAAGTGACATTTTTGAGTTTGTTTTTGTCCGTATCGTTTTTCTGTGGTGTTTGATGTATTGGTTTTTCTGGTTCTATTGTTTCTTCAATTGAATTTTCAATATCGAAATTATCTGTTTGATTTTTCTGCCACATAGATTCACCTTTAGCATAATCCCAATAAAAATCTAATTTTTGTGAGAATTCTGAGTGGTCTCCTGAAATTAATTCGTTAGCTGCTTTATGAATAGATTCGTCGTCGTTTCCATCTGAGTGTATAATCCAATCTCTAGGGGGTTAAGGTGAGTCTATTAGCCAATCTTCATGTTGTTTTAGGGATTGATTAAATCGCGATATAGAATTTCCTAAGTCTTGAGTTATTTCTTTTCTGCTTAAGTTCATCGCATTGTTTTCTTCTTCGTCGGAACTTTCTTCGCTTCCACTAACTTTCTATCGTTATTACTGTTTTTTCTGAGGTTGGAAAATTTACACTTTTGGATAGAAATTGTGGAGGTGCACTTTTAGGTCCAGGCATGTTTTTTATAGCTGCTGGTGGAAGTTTTAAACTAGGAAGCAAACTTCTACTAGGTTTTTGAATTGGGGGAATTGGTATTTCTATATCTTCTTCAGTAATATCTTCGTCTGAATCTTTATCTATTGTTATTACTCTAGGTTGTGTTGCTCTTCTTTGTGATACTCTTGATCCTATTGTACTTTGATTTAAATTACCTTTTGATGTTGATGGTTTTAGTATTAAATTTTGAGGTTGTAACTTTGATTTTAGAGGATTTACATAGACTTTTGTCGGTGGTTCCTTTGGTTTCTTTGGGTCTTTATCAAGTTTTTTATTAATTAGGATTCTAACTTGCTTTTGTTGGTCGATCTCAGTTTGAGAATTTTTGTTAATTTCTTCATTAACATTTCTAGAAAGAGCGTCGGCATTTGTGTTTAGTTTTCCTGATTTATGTTGAAACTCATACTCATAGTCTCTTAATTTTAGTCTCCATCGTATTAATCGCTGTCCTGGATCTTTTATGGTGTCGATCCATCTTAATGGTTCATGATCACTTACTAAAGTAAATTTCTTACCATATATATAAGGTCTAAAATGATGAACTGCATACAGAACTGCTAGACACTCTTTTTCAGTTGTTGAGTAATTTAATTCTGGTGCATTTAGTACTCTAGAAAGATATGCAATGGGAAGATCGAATCCATCTTTTTCTTGACTTAATACTGCGCCTATGGCGAAGTCTGATGCGTCTGTTCTTAAAGTAAATTGTTTTTCGTAATCTGGATATTGTACAATGGGACTAGTACACAAAGCTTCTCTTAGCTCTTTGAAACTTTCTTCTTGCTCTTGTTTCCATTCGAATTTAGCTTCCTTTTTTAACAAATTAGATAATGGTTTAGCTTTTGCTGAAAAATCTTTTATGAATCTTCGATAATATCCTGCTAATCCTAGAAATTGTTTTACATTTCTAGGTGTTTTAGGTGTAGGAAAATTTTTAACTGCTTCTACGGTTTTCGGATTGGGTTTTACACCTTCACTGCTTATTATGTGTCCTAAATAAGCTACTTCTTTAAAAAGAAATTTACATTTTTCTGGTTGTAATGAAAGATTTGCACTTTTTAGTCTTCGTAACAATCGTCTTACCTTTTTACCGTGTTCTTCTAAATCGTTAGCATAAACTACGATGTCATCTAAGTATACGAATAGTTCAACTCCTTGAAGTCCTGTTAAAACTTGGTCCATTAATCTTTGAAATGTTGATGGTGAATTTTTTAATCCCATGGGCATTCTTATGTATTCGTAATGTCCATGTATAGTAGAAAATGCTGTTTTTGATCTATCAAGGGGATCTAATTCAATTTGATGAAATCCACTTGCTAAATCGAATATAGAAAAATATTGAGCTCCTCCGAGGGTGTCAAGTATACTAATTATATTCGGTAATGGATAGCAATCACCAATTGTCTTCTCGTTTAGTGCCCTGAAGTCGATTACTATTCGCCACTTTTTCTTACCGGTTCCATCGATTTTCTTTGGAATTATGAGTAGTGGTGAGTTGTATGGTGAACTAGAAGGACCTATAGCTCCTTCTGACTTCATTCTATCAATAATTATTTAAATTATTTCGTTAATAATATCAAATGAAAAAGGAAGCCCTAGAACTCCAATAATATCTGAATTGTCGTCACAAATTATCGTTTGAAATTCTATTACTGTATAATTAATACAAACTTTTGTTTCTCCGTGCGTTCATAAAGTGCCGTCTCTCAAAAAGTATTTTATTATACGATTTACTCCTAAAAATGGATTAAGTCTGTCTTCTTTAATGATATTAATAGGTAACGAGGGATCTAATATGAATAGGCCTTCGTTATTTGTGAAGAATGAAGAATTTAATGATAATAGTAGATATAATTCGCTATACTTTAGTAAGAACTGAAAATATGAGTTCATTAATTAAATTTTACTGGGAGTACTATTCTCGTATAGGTGTAAAATTTTGCTTTATATATATATTTTTTTCTTGATATTCTTGAGATTTGTTTAAATCAAAATATTTGATGAATTATTGAATTTAATATTTTGAGTTATGTACCAAATTCTTAGCCACCAAATTATTGAAAATATTACAATAAAAAGTGTTGTGAATAATATTATACAATACATGTAATATGTAGTTGATTAGAATGTGAATTCACTAGGATCTGTATTAAGGAAAGGAGATCCTAATATACCTGTTAACTCAGGTTGATTTGGATTAATAAAAGTTTTAAATTTTATTGCTTTATTAGCAATTACTATTTTTGTTGTTCCGGATGTAACGAATGACCCGAAATTTATTGTGTATTTTTCAATTCTTTTGATTTCAGTTTCTTGAGTGAGTTTGTTTTCGTTTATTAAATTAATATCCAAAGCAGGATTGATTAAAAAGAGTTCTCTATTTTCTATTAAATTTTTGGAAGATATGTGAATTTTCGGATAAATCTCTAAATTGAATGAAATGTTATTGATATGTTCACTCATGAGAAAATTCTATGAAAAATAGAAGATCTTCTAAATAAATTATTTCTGAAGAAATTAGCTACGCGACGTCTTAATCGTCTCTGAATTGATAATTCACGTCTCCGGATTTCTCTTTCGTAAATGATTGCAATTCTTTCAAAATATCTAGTTTCAAAAATTTGATCCAGAAATGGTGCTCCTAATATACCGTTAATTTCTGTATTACTATGAGAATAAGCGTCAACTTCAAATCTCAAAGAAAAATTACAAAATTCTATTGTTGTACTTCCAATAGTACGAATCGCACCTTGTCAAGATATAGTTGAATTATTACGTTCTATGTATACGAATGATGCTATTGCTGATTGTTGAATTAAATTTATTGATAAGGTGTGATCTATTAAAAAGTTACCTCTATGTAAATTGAAATAACCCGAGATCAATTCAACGTAAGGGTAATTATGTTGATTATAACTAAGATTTGAAAAATAACTACACGGAAAAATTTTGGGGCGAGCAACTCTATTTGCTCTAGTAACGCTGAGCAACTTCACTTTGGTGCAGCAATAGTCGCAAAAAGATAGCGCAGCAGGCCAGCATTGGACGAGCTGCTCTACCAGTCGTGTATCTACCACTGACTTTCAGCGCAGCTCGTCCAACACTGGGTGAGCAGCGTTCCCAGTAGAGAGAGAAGCTCACCCATTTACAAGGCGATATGCCTTCTCTCTTTTAGGAAACCTTCTCTACGCGCGGAGAACGCAGCTCGCCCGAAAACTTTTCCGTGTACTCATTTAATTTTCGAATCTATATTTTTATTAAAATTTGGCTAGTTGTATGCAAGATTAATTGTTTTAGCAAAATTAGAATGTTTACAAAATTTTTGTTACAATTCTTTATTTCTATTTAAAAATTGCTCCGTATTAGTTAATAATTTTTTTCGAAAATTTTTGAAAATTCTTGATTTGAATTCATTTTTCGTACTTCTAATAAATTATCAGTATATTCGACTTGTTTTTGTTGAAAGCGTTTCTGATTTCTTTTTCCTCCTCTATTTTTTGGTTTATCTTTATTATTTTGCATGATCTCAAACTGCAAATAAAGACATTTTGTCTTTGATTATAAGAAAATTTAAATTATTGTTAAAGTAGTTTGTTTGATTATGGAATTCTATTAAGGAAAAAGCCTCTACATCTTTAAAGTTAAAATTCGCCGATCGGCGTAAAAATAACTTTAAAGTAAGCCTCAAACTTAACAAAATTTAGAAAAGCTCTTTATTTTAACAAATTCGCCGATCAGCGTAAAATGATAAAATCAAGAACTTGTGTTTTAATAAAGTTAGTTGCCTTAATAACAAATTCGCCGATCAGAGTAAAATGTTATTAGTAAAATCGAAATTCGCCAAAAGGCGTAAGAACGATTTTATACAACTTGTTCTTTTATTACTTTAAGTGATTGTTAAAAATAATGTAATGTTAATTAATTAATAATTGTTAATGTTAATTTTTTTTGTGTTTTGTGTAATTAATAATTTACTTGAAAAGAATGTTGTTAGAGCGTCAATTAAATTTTTCTTTATTCTAAGTGTTGTAAGTGTTTAACTTGCACCTTGTAGAAGGAAAGAATAGTGATCTGCGAGCAGAAATCAACAATCCTAAGTGTTAAAACTTAACAACTTGCACAATAACCGAGTACAATTCGAACTGCAATTGCCGGTTAAAGAAAGAATAATTTGAATTAATTAACACTCCCAAATTTTTGAAATTTTAAATTTAATACTTTGTAATAGGAAATATTATAATTGTCTAACAAAAGTGACGAATCCCACCGCTGCCACCAAATCAGCTGTTACATCCCGAGCAGAAGGCGAGTTTATTAGTGTAGGTTCTAGAATTTTGGAGGAATGGTAGGCTGATTATGGTCAAGTTGGTAAAGCTTGACCTTTATTTTTAAGTAGGATCGTTTGTACTTGTCAAAACTACGGGTTTTGAGTTACAACAACACAAATATTCCCTTTTTATAATTTATTTAAATATTAAATAGTATGATTACAATAATTATACAATTGTTACTTACTTTTAATTACAGGTTTATTCGTAGATTTCAATAATAGCGCAGGTCGTTATAAGTTTGGTTTTCAACA